GTGGGACAGGGATGAAGCAGGGGCCTGAAGGGGCATCTGCTCTTCCTGGGGCACAGCTGTCACCAGGCACCAGACACCCAGGGCCAGGCCAAGGCGCAGCTGTCGGGGGCGGGGCCACACGGGGGCGGGTCAGGGGCGCGGCCCTCCCCGGGGAAACGCAGCTGTCGGGGGCGGAGCCACATGGGGGCGGAGCAGGGGCGTGGCCCTCCCCTTACAGGCGGCTGCACAGGTACAGCTGCCAAGACAAAAGGAGGCTGTGGGTTGTGGGGGGGCGCCGCCCACACTCAGCAGCCAAGAGTGACGAGTCAGGTGGTGTGTGGCGATGGCTCTGGCTTGGCGAAGGTCCCCCACACCTGTGCAGGCACGGGTCAGGTCACCAAGTCTGCTTGCCACCGCTCCTGCCCTATGGTACAGATGGGTAAACTGAGACCCCCAGGGGATAGGGCAGCTGGGCTAGAGGACCCCCCCAAACATACCCAAGGCCTCCTTCCCCAGCTCCCTAGGACATCATGATGGACTTGGCCAGAAGGACTCGTATGTGGGCAAGAAGCCTGGAGCAAGCGCAGCATTCTTTCGTCCAAGTAGCCCACGGAGCGCAGCACCCCCACCTCGGACAACAGGGAGATCTGTGTGTGCCACAGCCTCCACGACAAGCCGTGTGTGGCCTGGGCAGAGCACCGGGCTCACCAATGTGTGTTTGCACGCACACACACACACCATGTGTATATTACCTTCTAAGCATATACACATGGGCTGTGCTGCTATGCATGCTCAGCTGTGTCCGACTCTTTGCATCCCCGCCGACTATAGCCCACCTGGCTCCCCTGTCCATGGGATTTTCCGGGCAAGAATACTAGAGGCCCCACTCAACTCGAAGGTCAACAGCAAGCTGAGGACTGCCCAGGTCACATACAAGACACTGAATCTTCTGTCATGTAGGGGGCATCCGAGCCCGTGCTGAGGCTATGCCTCTGGTCACACCCCTGGGGATCCATGGCGGCTGCAGCCACCCCCAGGTCAGCTGTCAGACCTTGGCTCATGGCCGCAGCCCCAACCTTGTTCTGCGAGCGGCTCCAAGTCCTCTTGCCTGGTCCCTTTGTAGGATCTCTTCTCTCCAAACCTGGGGTGTCCGACCCTGCGCACAGGGCGGCCCTTCCCCTGCCAGCCTGTAGCGGACGTTCATTTTCTCAGCAGGGAGCCCCACAGCCCCAAGTGCGGGTGTTCAGGTTTCGCCTTGTCCACCATGGCACAGGCAGGACCCAAGTGATGCAGAAATGTGTGTGCCCCGCAAGCGGGCCCCCGCGGGTGCTGCGCCCCCACTCTGGGCAGAGGGTCCAGGTTGGAGGGGGCTAACCTGGGCTGTGGGCTTTGGAGCCTGGGCTCTGGCAGAAGATCCTGCAGGGACACTGAGAGAAACCTGGGATCCGTGACCCTGGCCTCTGAGCATGACATGACTACGGCTACTTCCCCTCCTCTGGAGGGCAGGTCATCACTGCTGGCTCTGGCTCTGTCCTAAGGCCCTCCTCCAGACCTCTGCTGGGGATGAGCCCGCACCCGCAGGGCAGACATGCCTTGACACTGACCTCAGCTCCAGTCCCCTCTTTCTAGGCAGCTCCCGGCATGGGACAAAAGGCAGGCCTCTCTCGGGAGATGGCGCCCCTACTGGCCAGGACCTGAGAGAAGATGCCAGGCCAACAGGTATTGGCTTTGCCAGGCAGGGAGTCCACCAGGACCAAGACAACCCACAACTCCATCATAGACATGACGTGGACACCCACAAGGACCTGCATGCCCACAGCATCCTGTCTAGAGGCACGACCACGGACCAGGGCACTGCAGACGGATGCAGACCCTGCTGGGCCCTCAGCAATGTGAAGACCAAGGGTGAGTGGCCGCTGGCATCCCAGGGGATCACCAAATGCGTTTCCTTCCCCATGCCGCCAAGCAACAGTGCGAGGGCATCTGGCTGTCCAGTCTCCGAGGTGCCTCTGCAGCATCTTCCCGATCGCCCTAGACCCTTGACCTCATGAGAGACAACCTCTGTTAATACTTTTGAAGAGGGAAAAGCAGAAAAAACTAGTAATAAACCTGCCTATGTTTGAGTCAGCCACTTTCAAAGCCTGGTGGTAGAAACCATCCAGTGATCAGGTTTCGCACACTGGGGGAACTTTCAGACCAGCTCAGGCTCTGCCTGAAGTTGAGGACCTCTCGTCCTGCAACTGTGCCTCTTGCTCTATCTGCTCACTGAAGTGGTGGGAGTGAGGGGGGTGGGCACTCCAGCCAGTACCACTTGAATGATGAGGTCTGAGCTGCAGATGGAGGCAGGGGTGGGGGCAGCTGCCTCGGAGGACAAAAGAGGGAGGCTGGTACTTAGGAAAGTGGTGTGGAGGGCAGACAAGGCCAGTGGCAGCAAAGGGAGGCCCCTCCATTCCTTCTAGATCTGGTCATTTACTCTGCAGCAAGGGGACAGTGACTCCAAGGAATTCCTGCCTGGGATTACAACAGCCTTCAAGGAACAAGGGTTTCCCTTGTGGCTCAGCTGGTAAGAAAAAATCCACCTGCAACGTGGGAGCCCTGGGTTCAATCCCTGGGTTGGGAAGATCCCCTGGAGAAGTGAAAAGTCTACCCACTCCAGTATCCTGGCCTGGAGAATTCCATGGACTCTTGAGCGACTTTCACTTTCAAGGAACAAAGAACTTGGGGGTGAGGGGTGGGGGGTGGGGTGGTGGAAGTGGAACTCCTTCTCATGAGAAGGCTGTCGAATGATGCTCCAGCATTTAAAATACTCTCCTTCCCCACGGGCTGGGGTGCCTTCCTTCATGCCTCCAGGGCAAGGGAGCTGCACTCACCGTCCCTGGATGTGCCCTCACCCACGGGGCTGAGGCCACATGTGGCAGCTACAAGACAGTTGCTGACTCTGCTCTTTTCCTCAGATCACTGTCCTGCCACAGCGCGAAGACTCCGGGGGCTCGGGGCTCCATCCTGGCCACCCTTCTCCACCTTCAGGCAGAGGTGACCGCCAGCAGCAACATGAGGGGGCTGGCCCTCAGCGTCCACGGGAAGCGCTGAGCCCTGGCTCCCGGCCCACTTCCTGCCCCTGCTCCCTGGGCTGCACTGCGGCAAGAGTCCGCCCGGGAGAAGCCGCATGGCTCCGTCTAGCATACTCAAGAGGCCTGAGCCTCCCCCAGCTCGTAACTCTCCTGGCCGGTCAGGCCTGATGTGAGTTACCCTTCCTTTGGGCCTCTTGTCTTTCCTGAGAAGAGGGGGGCAGAATCTTTTCAAGAGATGAAGAATATTCTGAGTACCCCAGTTAACTCTGAGAAACACCGACACGCTCTTCTATTCAACTCCCACACAAATGTTCTGGAATTTATGTTTGCCTGCAGATGTTAAGTATCACCAACACTTGGCCTTGGACTCTCCAATGTGCAAAGCAGGCACCCTTCAGGAGAAGACCTCTGACCTGGGCTTCTGAGAAGTGGCACAAACATATGCATTCACTGGTCTCAGTTTCCATGTCTGGCTCCTTGCCTCAAACGCCGAGGTTTTCCTCGCCTGAGGCTTCCTTCACAGGAAGAGGTATGGGGCCATCACAGCTATGTGCCCCGAGGGTTTAAGATCCAACGCTGGATGGTCTGAGCCCCTTGCTGCCAAGGCAGCCCGGCACCAGGAAGCCGTCCCAGCAGCTGAACAAAGTGTCTTTTATTTGTGACACACAAGTACAACCAACGCAAAGAGGTCACTTTTCCCTTTGATTCCAGTGATAACAAGTTGCTAAAGAAAATATATATATATATATATATCAAGAAGGCATTTTATCTCCAAAGTTTCCTCTAAAAAAAACAAAAAAACAAAAAACAGGAAGGGTTAAAAGAACCACACACATGTCATGTACACATCTGACATCAATGCAAATAACCTGAAACAGAGTGGAAAACAACTAAAAAACAAATCTCAAATTAATTATTTTTTAACATGCCCCAAACAACAAACCAAAAAGCCTGGTACAAGACCTGCTGCTTCTTAAAGCCAAGAGCTTGGCGAAATGGAGACTGATGGTTGAGAACTGAACAGGCTCAATGGCAACAGGGCGACCTACAAGCCTCAGGCTGCGCCTCCCTGCCCAGCCTGCCCACCCCGCATCCCCAGCAGCCTCTGGGTGGTGGCAGAGGCGGCTGGACAAGCAGGGCCCACAAGAAGTGTCCATTGACCAGTGGGGCTCAGTGCCAGGTATCCAGTGAAGGGAAAGAAACATGGACACTTCACTCCCTTTATGTGGGATTTACACTGGGGTCCTTCTGGGGCCCTGAGTGGGAGGTTATCAGAAATCCATGATCTAAAATGATGAATATTTATCATTCTGTGTCCTTTGACAGCAGGGATCAAAGGAAAAGCTCTTCCTAAATATGCTTCCTTTGTCCCATGATTCTTGGAAGGAATCCTCTAATGTCCTCCTAGCAATGAAAACCCTCCCCTTTGGGTAAAATCTCCTGGGAGCCAGCTGAGTGGGCCAAAGGTGGGTTTGCTCCAGTGTGAAGGTGCGGGGCCCTCTCCAAGGGAGTGCCACGTCCACCGCTGGGCAGTCAAGAGCATCGCAGAGTGCTCAGCAGGGAGGCTGTGTGCCCCGGCCCCCACACGTGGGAGCCTGGGGGAGAAGCCAAAGCAGCCTCGGGGAGACGGGCCAGCACAGGCGGCCTGGGCCAGGGCAGGGACTGGGATGAGTTGACTGAGGTCAGAAGCACTGACCGACCTCCTGGGATCAACACTCCGCAGGCAGGACCCTTGGGATGCTCTGGAATGCAGAGCTCCAGTTCTCCCAGGGGAGGCGGCAGGTGCTTTTTCCTGGATAAGGATTTGGTCATTCTCTTCCCTGGAAGGGGAGTAAGGTCTGGGGATGAGGGGTAGCCTGAGCTCTGACCTTGTGCCCTGTCCACCCCACGAGAGGAGAGGAAAGGGCTCCCCCACCCACCTGCCACCAGGGAGGGCAGCTGTGGGGCCTTGGGGAAGGAGACCCACCCTCAGAGAGCTAACAGCACCAAGATATGAGAGGAAACAGCATTAAATATGGCAGGAACGAGGGGCCATAAGGGGGAAGACAAGGGGCTCCCTGATGTTATTTCCCCCTTGAGAGTCAGAACGGGGTGGGGGGCAGGCGAGAGGCAGAGGGAAGCAGCGAGAGGGGATGGAGACGAGCAGGCCAGGCTCCAACTCTTTCCTATGAACAAAAACCTCGGGTCACCGCCTTGGGATCACAGGGCGAAGCTCGGGATGCAGCCCAGTCAGAAGCCAGAGAAGCCATGGTCCCCGCACAAGCCCCCTGATGCTGCTTCCTGGCTCCTCAGCACCTCGCTGACAACCACAGGCTCCCGGAGCCGGCTGGTCCCCAGGACAACTCCACTCTAACTGCGAATCCACAAAGGCACAGCCAGGAAGAGCACCCTTGCTTCCCCAAGTTGTGACATAAAAGACCTTCCAAGGGTCTCCGTCGAGCAGCCCCTCCACCAAACGGGGAGTCACTCTGAAGCCTCTTGGCACAAAAGCCTACACCGAGTCCATTCCTCTTTGGGAACCACCCAGAGCCTGACCCAGGGCTCCAGGATTTTCACGAAGCTGGGAACAAACGTTCCATTCGTCCAGCTGTGTGTGGCGAGGAGGGGGCTTGTCAGGAATCCGGCGGCAGGGAGGTCGTGGAGCCCCACGCTCAGGGCCGAGGGCCGCGTGAGAAGGGAGCCACTGTGCAAGGATGTGCTGGGTGCCCGGCCCCTCACTGCCCCTCCCGGCAGCCTGCCCTTCCAGGGGAAAGCAGGAGGGGCAGACAGACCACCCCTCCCCGGGGTCAGGGCTAAGGAGGCCGCCTGGAGAGCGGCGGGAGACCGGGGAGAGGACAGGCCTTGGAGAGCGCGTTCCAGCTTGGGACTCAGTGGCAGCAGCCGCCACAGTGCCCGCCCGAATGGGAGTGCTGGCTGTCCCCAAACTTGGTCCTCCGGCTCAGGATCTCATAGGAGCAGTCCTCCCCACAGCAGCCGGACATGCTTGGGGAAGAGTCATCGATTTCAAATCTGCAGGCAGGCAGGAGGAAAGGGTCGGTGGGGGGCGGCGGATGCCTTCCACCCCAGGAGTCAGGGCTCAGGAGCAGGGCAGGGGACCAGGCCGGAGGCGTGCCCACACCATCTCCCCCAGCCCCAGCCCCAGCCCCCTGGATCTCAGGCCCAGGAGCTCAGTGTCAGGACAAGGTGGGCCAGGACAGGGAAAAAGACACGGGCCAGCAGCTGCCGCCGCCCTGGGGGTCCCCCACCGGGCCCAGCTCCTTACTGCAGTGCTTCTCTGAAGAACTGGTAGGCGCCATGATTGTGCTTAAATACTGTTAACATAACTTTCTTCATCTGTGTGCTGAGAAGGAAGCAGAGAGAATCTTCCAGAAGGAGAAACAGGTGCTAAACCACACGTGCTCTCTCGTGCCTCTGCCTGCTGTCGGGAGTGCTCCTGAGCCCTGCTCTGCCGTCTCGGGTGGTGCCGCCCTTGGACACGAGGCTGCTCCCCGCCTGACTGACTTCTCTGCATCTTCTCTGCGTCCCAGTGGAGATGCACAGAACAGGCACTCAGGGGTGCTTGCTGCCCTCAGCCCACTGCACCAAATGTGGAGTCATGGCAGGGCAGGGAGGTTCGAGATACCCTTCTTCCAGAACACTCCTGTGAGCCTTGTCCCCACCACCCCGCTCCCAGGCGTACGGCAGAGGCAGCTCCTCCCAAGAGCCGCACGCGCGCACACACACACACACCCCACACCTGTTGGCCATGAGCTGCAGAATCTGTATGAGGAACTCACTCACACACACACACAGCCTCCCTACCTGTTNGAGCCGCACGCGCGCACACACACACACACCCCACACCTGTTGGCCATGAGCTGCAGAATCTGTATGAGGAACTCACTCACACACACACACAGCCTCCCTACCTGTTGGCCATGAGCTGCAGAATCTGTATGAGGAATTTCCCCAGGCCTTTCCGCCGCACCTTGCTCTCCAGCTGCACCTCGTAGCTGGGGGAGGAAAGCAGAGTGAGCCTGCAGGGGCCGTGAGGCCTGGCCCAGGCCCAGACACGCACGTGGCCTCTGCCTCCTCCCTGGTGCCCACCCCCGCGCCATGGCCCCTACCAGTACAGGACTTCATCCCCGCACTCCACGTCAAACCGGAAGTGAGAGAAGGCGACGGGCACCGATCGGTTTTCCCAAGCGATGAGGTACCAGGCTCGGTCATCCGTCATCTCCTCCCGCTTCTCTCGGTCCTTCCAGCCCCACTCGCTCTGCTCGTACCTGGGAGACAGCGGCCATCAGGACAGGGACTCGCACAGCACAGTCAGCCCCCTCCCACCCAGGTGAGCTTACATGGTCTGCATGTTGGTCTTGGTCAGGTCGAAGGCCCAGTCCACGGTGGCCGGCTCCAGGCCGGACACTCGCTTACATTCAATGGAGACATTCAACCTGGAAGAGGAAAAGGAGGCGTCTGGAGCCAGCGCCAGGCCCAGCACCGCCCGCTGCCCGGACAGCCTGACGACGAGGCGCTCCTGGTCTCAGCTAATCTACAGTAAAAGCTGAGCCCGGACATGACTGCAGAAGATGCCTGTGAAGGAACGAAGCTGTTCAGGCTGAGATTAACGACTGTCATCACCAACCTACCACCATCCTGACCACAAGCCCCACTTCCTGCCACCCCCCTGCACCGTCCTTATCAGACTCAGCACTGTGTCAACTCCTGCCCCTCTCGGCTACCTCTTTGCTCTCTCTGCCTGCTCTTCTGTACTTTGTTATAAACACCCGAGTCGTCTCTGTTCCCTTAGTTCCTGCCCTGAGGCATTTTTCTTGTTGCTTTCATTTCTGAATCCAGTCCTCACTGGGCACCCAAGGAAGCCCTTCATTCTTATCTCCCAACCTCGCCTGCGAAAGTGGCAGGATGACCTCAGGCCCTTCAGGAAGATGGCAGCCCCCATCCCCCTGAGGAGTCCTGCCTGCTGCCTCCTCTGAGGACACAGGGGTGCTCTCAGCTGATCAAACAAAATGGATCAGGGTTCAGGTTCACCCCAAGTTGTTTCCCTAAACTAATGAAGGAGGCATTAAGGTATCAATCTATTTGTTTTTGGCCATGCCATGCAGCCTGCAGGACCCTAGTTCCCTGACCAGGGCCTGAACACGGGCCACAGCAGTGGAAGTTCCGAGTCCCAACCACCAGACTGCCAACGGAGTCCCTCAATCTGCTATTTACTTGTAAATGCTTAAGTAAATTACAGTTAAACTCTTTGGCAAACTGTGAAATCACATTCTCCAGGAAGCGCCACATTCTGAAAGGACTGACTCGACTCCTCGGAGGACATCACCCCTGGAAGCCACCGTCACCTCTGCTGACTAGCGCATTATATAAGCTACATGTGTGCTCGGCCATGTGAGTACAGGACTCCTGGCTCTGAAGAGTCTTCTTTCTTTGTACTACTGACCATGTAGTGGTCAGAAATGACCCAACACAGCACTGCACCTGTCTTAGCTATACATTTTCTGAAGGCTGGTTGGAGAGTATAGATTCTCCACTCAACTGACTTCTTTAAGTACATGAAAGTACAGTCTTAAAAAAAAAAAGAAAAAAAAGAAAGTACAGTCTTAGCCACACAAATCACACACAATTCCAAGCACCAAATGAGCCCAGAGTCAACTGGCAACGCCTGCTTCAGAGCTGGCCCATGTTTCTGGAAGTGGTGAGAACGTGGGGCGGGAACACTGAGATCACAGTAAGGAATCTCTGTTGTTCTTGTTCAGTCGCTAAGTCGTGTCTGATTCTTGGCAACTTCACGACTGCAGCACTCCAGGTTCCTCTGTCCTTCACTATCTCCCAGAGTTTGCTCAAATTTATATCCACTGAGTCAGTGACGCTATCTAACCATCTCATCTCCATTGCTCCCCTTTCCTCCTGCCTTCAATATTTCCCAGCATCAAGGTCTTTTCCAATGAGTCAGCTCTTAGCATCAGGTGGCCTAAGCACTGGAGTTTCACCCTCAGCATCAGTCCTTCCAATGAATATTCAGGGTGGATCTCCTTTAGGATTGAGTGGTTTTATCTCTGCTGTCCAAGGGACTCGAGTCTTCTCCAGCACCACAATTCCAAAGCATCAGTCCTTTGGTGCTCAGCCTTCTTTATGGTCCAACTCTCACATTTGTACGTGACTACTGGAAAAAATCATAGCTTTGACTATATGAACCTTTGACTTTCTGCTTTTTAATGCACTGTCTAGGTTTGTCATAGCCAAACTATGTCAAAGGACTTCCTGGAATCTGAATGATGATGCGGCTTCGAGAAGAGTTGTAACGCATCTGATCACAGACAGGAAGAATACATTAACGTGATACTATGAAACTCAGACACAGCCATGCAAGGCAAATGTAGCATTACCTACTGGAGTCTCTCCATCATAATTCATGCATTTACATCGTCTTATCTCATTCGTTAAAATACTGACACCAGCTCCTACTTCCAGTGCTGGATATAGTATCTGTGCTCCGTAAAACAACCTTGCAAGTTTGGCATCATCACTCCATTTAACCGATAAAAAATAAGGCTTGAAGAGTATGTCGACTTAACCAAATATAGTTAATAAGAAGCATCATTATGATTCAAACCCATGGTGATGATTCTGTAAAATCATAGCCCTGGTTTTTCCCTGAGCCAACAGCATCTCTGGTACCTATCTTATAAACCAAAGAAACAAAAAAAGGGGAGTGAGGCTTTAATCCAGAATCGGCAGTGAACTGGATTAGTAAAGAGAATAGTAGTAATAACAACTCACACAGATTTAGCCTTTAGTATGTTCCAGGCACTAACACTTCATCCAATCCTTCTGATGACTCTGTGGGGAAAGTACTTATTTCGAAAATTTAGACACAGAGAAGGTAAGTAATTTGTCCAGGGTCACAAAGCCCTAAGTGGCTTTTACCCATTATACTATATACTCAGGGAAAGAGTGCTGGACTGAGAATGAAAAGTCCCCTCAGCTGGCAGGGAGAAATTCCAAAAGCTCAGACTCTCATTTAGCTCATCGGGGTCTTGGTTCTCTGCCTAAAATGAGGGAATCAGCCCAGATGATTTCTCAGCTTTGTTTCCGCTCTGTGGTTCTCGGTCGGAGAGCACAGCAAGTCCCACATAGACGGCAGTCTGAGATCACGCCACCTTTGCTCATCCGCAGATCCCTCTGTTACCCTAATGGAGGGGTTTGTATCAGCAGGATACTAGCCATTGTTTCTGCTTTTTCATTAACAAAGAAAAAAGAAGTCTGAGGAAGCCTACTCTGGAAAGGTGAACTCCTAAAGAACAAGGACAGGACAGGTAGGAATGCTGAACACTCACCCATTCCGATCATATTTCTTGAACACGGGGAAAGCCTCCAGTGGGTCTCCAAGCTGTGGAAGGAAAGAAAAGAGGAGTATGTAGCACAAACGTGGGTCTGGCCATCACCGGCTCCACCCTGTGTGGACCCACAGCTCCCCAGCCCAGGAGCAGCCCTTACACAGACACGCCATCTGTCTTAGCTCTGAAGTCACGTGGAGGAAGAAGGCCCAACAAAGTTGTAGCTTCGTTTGACACGGGAAGAAGAAACTTTACTGCCTAATACTAAAACACTGGCCTCCGAGCATAAAACCTGCTCAGTGCCCACCTGACCCAAGAGAGAAGAGAGGGCCCCTGATCCACTCGTGTCCTTCTACGACGTCCTCAACTAACCTTCCCTGGTCAAAATCCAAAATGGAAAATCATGTCCCTGGGCCACATCCTCGAAAGTATGACTGCTTACTAAGTGGACTAAAAGAATAACAAAACCTGGAACTTGAACTGCGGCAGGAAGGGCAACCCAAATCTCTCTTGGCTCATGGGAAAGCCGAGCCGCTCCCAGTCAGGCCCACCGAGTGCTCAGAATCATGGCTACTCCTCCCCTGACTGTGGCCCCTAAAACCAGGCTGCTGCAAGCCCAGTGCATAGCACAACCTGCGGCACCTCACAGGCAGGCAATAAATGTCTGAAGGCAAGAATGAGAAAACTATACCACATTTTACTAGGGAGGCTTCCTTCCCAAGATGCAAAACCCTAAGAAAAACTTTTCCAGACTCTTTTCCAGTGGTAAGGAAACAGACCGACAAAAAGAAGCAGCCACTTTCTCTTGACTCCACACCTCCCTGCATGCCTGGGCCCATCCCTGGTCCTCCTCACAACTCTCCCAGGCTCCCAGCCAGGCTGGTCCAAAGCCTCACCCCAACCCCACCGCAGCAAGAAGGCAGTAGAGGTGTGGATGCGTAGTAATTCTGTTCTGCCACAGGGTGGCACCAAAAGAAGTAAAATTAAAAACCAAACTGCGGTTCCAGGAGGAAGGGACTGGGAAAGGGGAGAGTTACCCTGTTGGCGGCGTCCACTTTGGCACAGACAGCATCCATGGCTGCTCGCTCCTCCAGCCGCTTCTGCTTCTTTTCTTTTGCCTTGCTCGACTTCCTCTGCAAGAGGGAAAAGCAGAGTGGGCTGGAAGGCGGTGACCAACGAAAGACGGGACTTGACTTTCCCTCTGGGGACCCCAAGGGCCGGTCCCCACGTCGTGTGCCTGGTCTCAGCAGCAGGAACTCCAGGTCTGGCTGCCACACACACGGTCACCTGGTCACGTAGGAAAGACCTGAGCGTTTCCCAGTCATGAGACCGTGGGAGCATCGCTAGACTTCTCCGCTTCCCTACCGGGAAGAGGACTGGCCGCGGGACCACCGGGTCACTGTGAGGACTCAGTGAGAGCACAGGGCAGAACCTGAAGCAGAGCCCGCACCTCAGCAGCTGCCTACTAAATATTCATTTGTTCATTCCCTCCTAAGGCAGGAACAAGTAATTTTAGACACATTCAGGGCAGGTTTCAGGAAGGCGATGGCATCTGAGGCAGCTGCTGATAGCTGCTCTTAAGTATAAATTTATTCAAAGCCTTTTCAGTGTCTTCAGGCTTCAAGAAATGACGATCTGCTCTGGGGACAACCTCCTGGGGACGTGGGGCCCTTTCTAAGCGAGGCCCGGGGCACTCCCGCTTAAGGAGACAGAGCTGCTCCCAAAAACAGCTGCTCAGCCCAGGCCAGTGAGTGGCAGGCGTACTTAGCACCCAGTGGCGAGGGCAGAGTGAAGGGCCCCAAGGAGTTCACCTGGGGACAGAGGCCACGCTGACACGTGGTCAGCAGAGCCAAGCTGCAGGGGAGGAGCAGAGGGAGGCTGTCCGCACAGAGAAGCAAACCGCCAACCCCCCATGACTCCAAGTGGAGCGCGTCCGGTCTGGAGGGTCACACCAGGTTTTCTCCAGTCTACATGGACCCTCCCCTCTCACCCTGTGTAAAAACTGGGAGGCTTCCCTGGGGGTCCAGTGGCTGGGAGTCGCCTGCCAGTGTAGGGAAGGTGGGTTCCAGTCCTGCTCCGGGAGGATCCCACGAGCCATGGAGCCCACAAGAGAAGCCGCCGCCACGAGAAGCCCAGGCACCGTGATGAAGAGGAGGCCCTGCTCCCCGCCACTAGAAAGAGCCTGCGCACAGCAACAACGACCCATCACTGCCAAAGAACGATCAAACAAACTGGGAACATGGGGGAAAGAGCACAAAACTCAATAGACCTTGTCCAAAGCCTCTTTCTGCCCTGTACTCCCTTCGGGTCTTAGGACAAGCCACAGCCATTCTTGGAGCCTCCTTCCCTCAACTGATGAGCATGGCCCTTTATACCTCCTTTAAAGTATTAAGCCCATGAGGTTTACTGTGGCCTGTGTTCAATAAACAACACTTCCCGGTCTCCCTCCCAAGGAGGGGCAGAGCAGCACAGGCACCCGGAGGTGCCTGCCCACCCAGTCTGAGTCCTGAATCAGCCCAAGGCCCTGGGAAGACGGCTCTGCTTTCCACCAGCCACATGGCCTCGTCTGACCCCACCCCTCACTTCCTGACCTCACCAGTGAGACGTTTTGCTACTTCCAATTCCACCGTAGCTGGGACACAGCCCAGGAAAGGTTGAGCTGAAAAACCCAGCTGCTGGATAAACTCTCCCCTCAATTCCTCCAGGAATGACAGCGCTTAACTCCTGCACAAGCAAGCGGCAGGCAAGAGTTCGACACCAGGAGCTCACAGGGGCGGCTCTTCTAGGTACAGACTCGCCCAGCACCAGCTGTGTACCAGCTGCAAGCTGGGCACTGCAGGAAGCCAGGCTGGAGCCCCTTTCTTACCTTCCTGGAGGAAGGAACAAACAAGAGAGCAGACTGTCTTCATGACACTGGGATCTGGGGGCAGAACTAGCCCCTTTCTACCACAAAGAGGTTTTAGAGCATCCATTTTTTTTCTCCTCTGGGAATCTGAGTTTCAAGACAACACTGAGAAATACACTCATCTTGCAGAACACTTTCACAAGAAGAAGCTGAGGCTCAAAGGGATGTCGTGACTTGTTCAGAGTTCCACAGAGAGCAAATGGCAAAGGGGAGACTAAATCCCAGGGATTGGGCTGCAGATTCAGCATCTGTCCCCCCAGCCACGCTGTCTCCCACTGGGAGAGCCTACACCTGCGGCCAATACTTTCTTAGCTCTGTTCAACTAAGGTCAAGATGAGACCTCAGGAGTCCCCAGGGCAGCTGCTGGGTGATTCATTCCTCATTACCCTTCTGGTATGGTAGCAGCTGACGTGACATGCCCACACAGTACCACCCCAGACCCTACCTCCACACTGAAGTAGGGATAAAGAACAGGGAAGCCTGAGACGGAAGATCACCAGGGCTGGGCAATGGGGCAGAAAGAACATGTGTTTTGGCATCAAACAGGCCAGGTGACTGAGAAAGGAACTGCCCCTCCAGGAAAATGGGGACGCGACTGCTGGCCTAAGAGAATAGCCACAAGGCTAGGTCAGAAGTCAGCACACCCTCACCACCAAGGCCAGCTCCCCGCCTTCACCCTGCACTCTAGTTCTCTCTCAGCGTGACACAGAGCTGGAAGATCGGAGGTGCTGCACACGTGATGTCCAGAACCCGGAAGGCAATGAAATCTAGGTTCCTTCCATAGTGTCTCATTGTTAAGCACTAGAAGTAAGCAATTCCTAAGCACAACTGCACGCCAGGTATGAAACAGGCAGGAGCTCTCCCCCGAATAGAGCGCTCGCAAGCAAAAGTGGTCTCCTACTGTTCCAATTAGCTTTGTCCTGCCTTGTGGAGGTAAGACTATCCTGCGGGGACACAGGCAAAGTCTCCTAATTAAAATGGGAAATAAGTGCAGTGAACAGTGAAGCTCCTTGTCTTTCCCAAGGGAGCTTTACATAATAAAGAGTGTGGGATTTTGAGTCAAGAGACCCAGATTTGACTCTCAGCTCCCCCACTTAATAGCTGTGTGACTTTGGGCAAGTTATTTACTCTCTTCCCAACAAGTCACTCGGTTCCTCTGAACCTGTTTCCTTATCAATCAGTTCAGTTGCTCAGTTGTGTCCGACTCTGCAACCCCATGGACTACAGCACGCCAGGCCTCCCTGTCCCTCACCAACTCCCAGAGTTTATCCATAAAATGGGGTTAACAATGCCTCTACCTCACAGGGCTGTTGACAGAAGAAAAAAATGATACAATATATCAGATACAAAAATTCTTTATTGTAAGGATTTCTGTTCACAAGTACCTAGAAGCCATAAACACCTGCTGCATAAATCCTCCAAGATTCAAATCCAGGTCTGAACCCCAAAGTCCATGCTCTGTTCATCAATTAAACGTATATGAAGCTTGCTGTAACTAAGTGTGATGGAAGAGTTGTTTTCACATGCAGCTGTCAAACTCCTCCCCTTGCTATTTCTATCAGAGTAGTATCTCTCTCTCCCCTTTTTTTGGCCACACCTTGCTGTTTGTGGGATCTTAATTCCCTGACAGGGATTGAACCTGCACCCCCGGCAGTGAGAACACAGAGTCCTAACCACTGGCCCACCAGTAAGCCCCTCAAAGTGGCATCTCTATGACTGCTAATCATAATGGTAATTCTATGACCATGAGGGGTCACAGAGTGAAATTAAAAAACACTCCCATGGGAGCAGGAGGCACCTTTCAGAAAAAAGATTTGGGACCCTTTAGGTTTTCAGTATCAATGCTTCCATCCCACAAGGAATCCAGGAAAAAACCGTTTCTGGCAAAGAGAGTGAGTGAAAGTCGCTCAGTCGTGTCTCTTTGCGACCCCACGGACTATACAGTACATGGAATTCTCCAGGCCAGAATACTGGAGTGGGTAGCCATTCCCTTCTCCAGGGGATCTTCCCAACCCAGGGATTGAACCAGGGTCTCCTGCATGGCACGTGGATTCTTTACCAGCTGAACTACCAGGGAAGCCCGAGACAGAGCTCTACATTCTAATTCCTGAGACAACACCTGTGTGGCAGCAAGGGTAAGAGAACTCTGAAGAGAACGGGGCTCCACCTGAGGCCACCCTCTCCCTCAGCCAGTGGTCAGACCATCATACGGAGCAAGGCGCTGTGCTGGAGGGTGATGACCAGGAACCATGACCCTTCCGACATGAGGTGGGGAGTCCACAGCCCCCCACCCACAAAGAATGAGGATAATGAGGGTTCTGGCTCTGCTTCAGGGAGGGAAATTCAAATCTCTCTTTTGTAATGAGCTTCAGGCCGGAAGAGACCAACCAGGTGGGGGCTGTTGTGAGAAACACGTCTGCAACGTATGAGTAATAAGATTGGGGCCCTAGAGGAAGCAGCAAGGATCTCAGGATCTCTGAGGCCCACTGTTTCAACTCAACCAATGAGGAAGTGTTGAATCAGAACGGCATGTTATGCTTCTTGCTTTCTGCTCAGTGTGCAATGGCTGATGCTGGGCAGATTCACTAAGTAATACCAGGGACACAAGATTTTATTCTGTTTCAACAGAAGAGCTGGGGCCTGGGACCTTTCACTAAAGTCTAGGTTAAATACGCCTAAGGCCTCTAGACTTGATTTTCTACACATGAAGCACACAGTGTCCAAAAGTCCTTGCTGAAACACGATGAATAGGTTTTGACATGGATTACATAAAGTGCTCTGACATGGGTAAGACAACCATTTCTGTCTAACAAGTTGATTCATTCAGTCAATAACTATTTGAGTGGAGAGGATAAAAATCTAGGTTAATAACAGTAGGGACAAATCCAATGGGTTAAAAATAGCACAAATCTATTTTAGAAACCTGAAGGCTGAGAATACAGGGGAAAATAACAGCCACTATTTAAGAGACACCCATGTGACTATTCACATCTATCTTATTTAATCCTCATATCTGTCTCAAAGGGGAGGTATCATCCTCATCACATCCATGAGGAAATTCAAATCCACAAAGGCCAGCTCACTGGCACAACATCATGCCACCAGTCAGGAAAGATCAGGCTGGAACTGGAGTTTCTCTGGCTCCAAAGTGAGGACTTCCTAAAAAGTGGTGGAAATTTCGTGTAAAAACTAAGATACCTGGTGCCAGGGAGGGCCAGTTACTTGTTCAGAAGAGTGATGGGTGCTGCTCTAACTAGGACTTAGGAAGGTGAACTCACAGAAACATGCGAGTAACTTCTGCCCAACCTTCTATCAGCACATGCCCGGGAAAGGCATAAAAAGCACCTCTAGACTGCCTTCAGCAGAACAGGTGGTCACTATCCATCCGGGGCTGGGGCCATCACCAGTGCCCTTCCAGCGCCCCCTGCTCACCTTCTGCACAGCTTCCCCATGCAAAACCACCTGCGGTGTGAATACCACTAGCAACCCAACTAATAAGACCCACTTGGGTGCATCTGGGAGGCCCCTGAAGGCAAGCCTCTGTCGATAAGGAAGAGAATGTTTTTGGAGCAAGAGGAACCTGGTGGAGAGGTTCGAAAGAGACTGGGGAAAGCAGCTTCGCCGAGTAGCGGGAAGCGCAGCGGCCGGGGACTCGAGAGCCCTGAGTCAGGGTCTGTGACCTTGGCTGGGTGCCTCGTTTCCTCTGGGCCTCGGTTCCCTCCAAGCCAGCGCAGGCCTAGGATATGGGAAGCCACGAAGCTAGTGACAGACGGGTGATGTGACCCCCGGAGGCGGGGGGGATACCCAGGGATTGCTCGGGGATGCAGGGGGGTGGGGTGGGCGCCAAGAATTTAACAGATCCTAGAGGAAGGCAGAGGCGGGCGCGACGCTAGAGGCGGGGGGCACTGGAGGGGGTGGGGCCCGGAGAGGGGGCTCCCCTGGAGATTCCCAGGGCTGGGCCGGGCGTGGGGGCACTTCGACTGAGATAGTCGAGTCATGTGGGGGGCTGGGAGGGGGGTCACGTGAGGCCGGAGGGGGTCAGGGTCACGTGAGAGGGGGTTCAAGGAACAATGGGGGCGCAGGGGTGGTGGCAAGGGTAGCGGGGAGCCCTCCCAGCCCTGGCGTCTCCTCTCCCTGCCTCACTCACCCCCATGGCGACAACGGCGGCGGTGGCGCTCAGCTCCTCCTTCCCACACTTGCCGGCTGGGAGGCGGTGGTAGCGGCGACACTGGAGCGGCGGCGGGCCCCGCACTGCGCGTGCGCCTCGCGGGCTCCCCAGCGCGCCCCGGCGGGAACCGCGCCGGCGCAGAGCCCCACGAAGGGACGGGCGGGGGAAGGCGCGCAGGTGGAGAGCCTGGGAGGCGGGCCGAGGGTCTCGCACACCAGAAAGAGGCGGGAGGCGCGGAGCAAGCGTCGCGCTAGGAATGACGTAAGCCCGGGCCCGCCCCCCTCTCCCCAGGCTGTGTCTGTAGCCATGGCAACGGCCTCACAGCCGGCGGGGAAGCGCGCGGCTGGGCAACCCGGTGGGTGGCAGCTCCGCCCCTGCGCTGGCCTCTGCGTCTCCTCCTCCGTAACCTGGTCATCCGCGGAGCAGCCACCTTCCCAGCCGACCAAACGCGTCACGACCTCTGAAATACCTGCTCCTCCTACAACCCTCGGGCATAGGAGAGGTGTTTGGAACATTTCCCACCTTCTAGATCGTGAACTCTTGAAATCCCTTTTCTAACCAGAGTCATTCATCCATCTAACTTTTTTTTTCTTTTTAATTCATCTGTATATCTGTCTTCTAACCATTCATTCATCCTCCACTCATTCGCTCTCTCAATAAACACTGACTAGGACCATACCTGAGCAGGGCATGGCTACTCTCTCCAGTATTGCTGCCTGGAGAATCCCCATGGAGAGAGAAGCCTGGTGGGCTACAGTCCATGGGGTCGCAAAGGGTCGGACACGACTGAGCACAGCACAGCACCATACCAACACTATGCAGAGCCCAGGGAGCCCAGAAAGGAACAACAGGCTGTCCCAGTCCAGCACTTACACTTCAGAGGGGAGGCAGGCATGTTTAATGGGGAATGGAAGGTGATGTGAAGTTGAGATATCCTGCGTCCTGGACATCCTTCATTTCAGTCTATCCCAGCAGACCAGTGTGACCCCCATTTGACCTGTATCACCATCACCTAGGGAACCTGTGCACTGTGCAGCCCTGGGGCCTACCCCAGAATTTCCAGGGGTGGAGCCAGAATATTCACTTCTAAGAGCTCCCCAGATAAGGGTCCTACTCATGAAAATCAGAAAACCACCACCCAAGACAAGCCTCATAGGCTTTGTCAGGTTTTACTCCTTGTCCTTCCCTCAGCACAGCACAGGGGTGGCCCCCAAACAACCACTCAAGCAGCATTTGTTGAGTACCCTTCATGTGCTAGGCACTGTTGCAGGCAACAAAGAAAACAACAGAAAAGGCACTGCCCTCATAGAACTTGTGTTCTAGAAGGAAGAGGCAGATAATAAACTAAATGAATGTACCAGTAAAATACATATCATGTTGGATGATATATGTTATATGCAGGAAAATGAAACAGGGAAGATAGATGCAGAAAGTCATAATTTGTTTTTATTTTGTTTAATATTTATTTATTTGCCTGCACCAGGTCTTAGCTGTGGTACATGGGATCTTTAGTTCTGACTTGCAAGATCTATAGTTGCAGCATGTGAACTCTTAGTGGAGGCATGTAGGATCAGGTTCGATAACCATGGGTGGAACCTGGGCCCCCTGCATTGGGAGCATGGAGTCTTAGCCAGTGGACCAGCAGGGAAGTCCCCAGATTTATAGTTTTAACTAAAACGTTCGGAGAAGGCAAACAAGAAGTGACATTTGAGTCAAGATCTGAAGAAGGGGAGGCAGAAAGTCCAGCGGCTGTCTAGGGGAAGAGCATTCCAGGCTGGGGGTGCAGGTAGTCCAAAACCCCAGCAGGAGCACGATTGGAATGTTTGAGGAACTAACTACACACAGCACAATGGGCTGGAGCAAAGTGGGCCAGCGGGAGAAGTGTGGGAAGTGAAAATCAGACAAGTTAGAGGAGGATCCTTTAGGGCTTGTAGGTTTTTTTTTTTAAATATAATTTTATTTCTTTATTTCGGGCTTTGCTGAGTCTTTATTTTCCGGCTTTCCTCTAGTTGTGGCAAGCAGGGGCTGCTCTCCAGTTGCGGTGCACGGGCTTCTCACTGCAGTGGCTTCTCTTGTTGAAGAGCATGGGGTCTAGGCATGCAGGCTTCAGTAGTTGTGGTTCCCCAGCTCTAGGGCATAGGCTTGATAGTTGTGGTGCATGGGTTTCATTCTCTGAAGCATGTGGGAGCTTCCCGGATCAGGGATCAAACCTGTGTCTCCTGCATTGGCAGGCAGATAGATTCTTGACTACTGAGCTACTAGGGAAGCCCAGGCTTCTAGATTTTAAAACACTTTGACTGGAACTAGAGCGAGCTATTAGAGAGTCTGGAAGGAGTAGAAGGCCTGGGTTATGTGCTCATAGGACCGCCTGGTTGCTGGGTTGAGAAGAATGTAGGGGCAAGGTCAACAGCAGGGCAGTGCAGAGGCCGCTGCTGTAATCCATACAAGAGTGATGGTGCTTGCCCCAGCTGGGTGGCAGCGAAGGTGGGAGAAGGGTTCAAGACATGGACGTATGTTAAAGGAAGATCCAAGGACTTCCCGATGGACTGGATATGGGGAAAGAGAAGAACCAAGACATCTTCAAGGTTTTTAGCTGTGCTACTGGAAAAATGGAGTGCCTTTGACTGAGATGTGGGTAGGGAGAAAGGAGAAAGGTGGGTGGGGAAGGGGAAGACCAGGACTTCAGTTTTGGCCACTCAGGTTTAAGATGTCTTTTTTGACACTCACATGAAGATGTGAAGGAATCAGAGGCTGGAACCCGGGAGAGGTCCAGCCTGGAGATATCAATTTCAGGTATGAATGGTATTTAAAGCTGGATGAGACTGGGTGAGACCATAGAGGCAATGGCAGTAAACTAGAGTGAATAAATCTTGGGCCTGCATCCCATTCCTGGGTCAGAAAATCTGGTTTCTAGTACCCTAGGGACCAGAGAGGGAACTAAGAGAGGGAGGAGGGGTGGTCGAGGTAGATAGAGGGGGCTTCTGAACTTGCCCTTGAAGGAGGAGGAGGTAGGGAGGTTTCCAGGGGAGAAAACAGTATTTGCCAGCCAAGGACATGTGAAGGAGTGGGGCAATGGGATTCACAGAGGGAGGAAGGGCGGAGTGCAACCCCCTCCCCAGCCTATTTTAGCTTCTCCTGCCTCCTCACCCACATTGAACTTCATGGTCAGCAGATACCCCATGCCCTGTCTCTTTGGCCACTCCGGACTCCGGCTGCCAGAGATTGCTGGACACCAGCCCAGGCCTGGGAGGTGAGCCCAGGAGTCCCTTGAGGAGGTGACACCACCTAGGCCCTCAGGAGGCCTGAGAAGGCCCAGTGCCCTATTCCTGCCCCACAGCAGTGTCCTTCTCCCTGGGGGCTGCCCCCAACTATAGGCTCTCTCCTGCTCAGAGCTTCCTTGGTCTCCCTGGGTGGTACACAGAGCCTGCTTTGGAATCAGACTGACCTGGGTTTGTTTGTTTTTTTTTTTTTGTTTTGTTTTTGACCTGGGTTTAAACATCCTCTCTGCTACTTCCATCCTTAGTGACTTTAGAAAGAAAGAAAAGAAAGAAAGCGAAGTAAGAAAGCGAAGTCACTTAGTCATGTCCGACTCTTTGTGACCCCATGGACTGTAGCCTCCTCCATCCATGGGATTTTCCAGGCAAGAGTACTGGAGTGGGTTGCCATTTCCTTCTCCAGAGGATCTTCCCAACCCAGGGATCGAACCTGGGTCTCCCGCGTTGTAGGCAGATGCTTTGCCATCTGAGCCACCAGGGAAGTAAAGCTGTCCAACCTGAGAGTTGGGAGTTAAGTTTTATTTGGGTCAAAATGAGGACTGTAGTCCTGGAAGCAGCATCTCAGATAGCTCTGAGAGATTGCTCCAAAGTGGCAGCGAGGGAAGGTCAATATATAAGGTTTTGGTGAAGAGGGAGTCAATACTGTGAAGCACTCATTTTACAAAAGATTTTTTGTTTTTCATGAGGATCTGATGTCACCATGAAAGGATTTAGTGCTTCTCTAAATATGAGGAGACTGCAAGGATTGAGATCATAAAATCTGTTCCTAAAAACATCCCAACTATCTAAAGACCTGTCCCACCAGATTCCCTGGAGCGCAGAGTGCCTCGCTCCACCCTGAGCTCCCTCAGGGTTTGTTGTAGGTCAACAGCTAGAGAAGCACAGGATTCACTTTCCATAGATGTGTGTGTTAGTTGTAACCGCATGGACTGTAGCCCGCCAGGCTTTTCTGTCCATGGAATTCTCCAGGCAAGAATACTGGAGTGGATTGCCATTCCCTTCTCCAGAGGAACTTCCCAACCCAGGGATTGAACCCTGGTCTCCTGCATCACAAGCAGATTCCTTACCATTTGAGCCACAGGAATCTCCGTAGAGGTGGATGGCAAATGCCTTTGTCCTTCAGTCACTGGCAATGCTCTCGGTAAATGCCAACTGGTAGTTGACAGGTACAGTGACTCCAGTTTCCTTATTTATAAAGTGAGACCACCAACAGCAGTCATCTTCATTATCATCTTCCAGGGCACTGGTGAGAATTAATGAGATTAAACAAGATGAGAGGTTGCAAGGCACCTGGCATGGCCTGGGGCAAGAGAGGAATCTCCTCCCCAGGCACAAAAGTCTATCTCTCCCACCCTCCCACCCCTGCCACCCTCCTGCCCTTCACTGCCAAACCTCTGCCCCAAGGGACCAGGCTGTTGTCTAAGCTGCCTCATTAGTCACACCCTCCAGCTCTCACCGGGGAGCCTGGGCCACCTCCTCCACCCTCTCTGACCTCTCAGGATGGACACGCTGTCTCTCAGGCCCTGCACCCCTCCCACTTCCTTCCTGGACTCCCCTTCCTCTCAAGACAGTCACTTGCCCTTCTCACTTCACAGCCCTCAACTGCCCCCAACTATTCATCCACTTAGGTGCTTAGTGGAGGCTTGGGGGCTGCCCTAGACTATAGTCTTCTGTGCTGGGGAACAGCCTTGGAAGATAGCCCTGCCCAGGGGGCAGCCGTCACAGCCCCCACAGCCCAGTGGGAGATGGATGGGNAACTGCCCCCAACTATTCATCCACTTAGGTGCTTAGTGGAGGCTTGGGGGCTGCCCTAGACTATAGTCTTCTGTGCTGGGGAACAGCCTTGGAAGATAGCCCTGCCCAGGGGGCAG